AAGCTAAAACTTTGCCACTTCAGGAGTTCTAAAAATAGTCTGTTGATGGACAAGAAAGGTTTTCCAGCTTAAATGCTAAATTTTTATATATCTTTTACAATGTTTGTATAGTTACTGCTCTAATTGAGTTATTCTTCTGTTATATTTTAGATTCTCCATCCTGCAGTAAAGGATTCATGAATTACCAAATAAATTAAGGATTATTTGAATAATCAGTTAAAGGTTAATTGGATCAGCCTTAATATGTTAATAGGCTTGGATAAATTACATCTAACCTAGTAAACTCATGAGCCTTATGTTTTTTCTTTTTTAAACAGAGTCCTGTTCTTCAGTACCTGTACTTCCTGACCCAGATCCCGATCGCAATGTCCCCTCTTAGCAACAACAGCCTGTTCCTGGAATACGCTAAGAACCCCCTGCTGGAGTTTCACAAGAAGGGCTTAATGGTGTCCCTGTCCACTGATGACCCCATGCAGTTCCACTACACCAAGGTCTGAGCTTCACATCACAATGACACATTCATCGCTGTTTACAATGGGTATTGTGTGCTTCTATAGATGTTTAAAAGTCTGTTTTGTATGATCAGAAGTTGTGTTCAATGTTTTAAAGACCACATTGTGAATTGCCCCCTCCAACAAAAACATCAGTGAAAAAGGACTGAATGACTCTAAACTGGACAAGCAGAACAGATGTACTAACCCTTATTTTAATGTTTACAGGAACCCCTAATGGAGGAGTACGCCATTGCAGCTCAGGTCTTCAAACTAAGTACTTGCGACATGTGTGAGATCGCCAGGAACAGTGTAATCCAGAGTGGCTTGTCTCATGAGGTAACAAACAATAAACTTTATTCTGTCACAGCTTTCTTTTTTTATCTAGAACCATGCAGGCTTGTTTTGCATCATCATACTTAAAGGGGTCAAAGAATGCAAAACCAGGTTTACATTGTGATAGATGAATAACGATAGTTCAGTGGGTGAAATGGACGTACAGAGAAGTTCAAACCACATCAACACCCCCTTTCTCTGCAAATCTCACAATTCTAAACTTCCACCACGAAACGGGCGAATCCAAAGGAAGCACAGAGTTGACGTAAACTCAGCTGGGCTTCTGACTGGACCGGTCCTCGGCAGAGAGCCATGAGCCGCCCAGGCCAGCGGGAGGAGGGGGGCTGGGGACAGATAAGGGGGAAAAGCACATGGTCCCCTGTGTCCAGGCTACCGTCACCGGGTCGGATTCGGTCGCTTCGTCCCCCGCTGGCTCCCTGCCCTCGTCCGCTGGGGTCCCCAAAAGACCAGCTCCGGAGCTGACGGCTCGGTTCGAATGCCCGGTGTGTTTCGACCGACTACGTGTTGCACTGTAGTCGACCAAAACCCCGGACGATTTTGAAATTCCCACCAGACATTTTTTTAGGTATGAAAAGTAGAGCAAGTCAAGGAAAAAGAGGACGTCTGGTCACCCTACCATATCAACAATTTGATGTTTTAGTGAGTGAGTGCTTGTTGCTATGATGCGTCTTTGCTCTGCAGCTTCGCTATTTGTAAACCAACCAATCAGCGCACAGCTCATCTAAATATTCATGAGCATACCATAAAAGGAAGAAAACCTGTTGTTTCATTCTAGGGCTTTTAACCAGGCTTGCATTAGGGCTCATAGAACAGCAAATATGCCATTTTCAGCCCAACCAATGTTGCACACACCAAATACCCTATAGAATCATTCTATCACCCCTTTAAATGTTGGTTTCTGTATTACAGGAAAAGGTTCACTTCTTGGGCTCAGATTACCTGAAAGAAGGCCCAGAGGGAAACGACATCCGTAAGACCAACGTGGCTCAGATCCGAATGGCCTACCGCTTTGAGACGCTGTGCTACGAGCTCAACCTCATCAAGGAGGGCTTGAAGTCAGAGTGAATGCTGTGAAAACATTCAAACTTTTTGTCAAAACCTATCTGTAATGGGATGTAGAATGGCTTCTACAAATGTTTTCTATAGTACGACTAGGAGAAGTAAACCTTAAAGCAACGGAAACTTCTGATATTCGTCCTCAGAAAGGACTGTTTTGATGAATAGGTTTCATTGTGTTTTCCAGGAGAAACATAATTTATAAGAATGTATGGCAATAAAATGTAAAAAGAAAACATCTTGTATTCATTTATTTTTGTAGTTTGTATTCACCTGTCTGCACTTCCGTTGATTTGATCATTTTAAAGTCCCTTAACCTGAAACAGCCATTACATCTTCAGATGTCTGTGAAAACAAAATATTTAAGTGAATATTTATTCTCTTTATTCTTCACAATGCAAGAAAGTTTGTCATTGGAATTAAAAATACACTGATAAAGAAAAGGGTTACCATTAAATATGTTGGTTGAAAGGTGCCAAAGGAAGTGGGAAGAGGCATAGTAGAAATGCAATAGACATAACAGTAAAAAATAGTAAAAGGAATGACGCTACACAGAGATAGGCTTCGTCAAAGGTTGTTGAAATATTCAGGTAATGATAAGTACATGAGGTGCGATTTCTCATTGAATGGTATTTAATAAAATAACTGGTCAAATATGCATAAATGGGGTTCACTGTCACTATCTCCAATTGCATAAAAAAAATTCTTAGATGTTTAAGTCATTTTTATCAACATATATTTTTTACTGTGGTACATTTAAGGAATTCTGAGGAACCTTAATTATTGTTCAAAGTTCAGCTCTGTCTGCATTTTGTTGAATCAGCACAATGAAGAGGAACTATGTTGTTGTAAAAGGCCAGTTTTATGTTCTAAGTATTCTGGTAAGTCACTTTGTATGATAAAGTTGTTTGTCTCTCTTGATATATAACATAGCATTATAATCTTTGACAGAAATTCCATAATGAATGGCAATTTGGGTGGAAATTGTGACAAAAATGACATCAGTTAAGGGGTTCATCATATACATATCACATTGAAATTATTCATAATAGATGGTGACATTCATAATTGTTCCACTCGCCAATCAAGTGAAAGACGTTTTTGGTTATCTGCCTGTCGAACAAATTAACTTCAGACAACATCGTGTTAAAGGGCAATGGTGGTGTGGAACTCACTCATGCAATTCTTACTTTCAGAGATGTACAATGTTAGCTTTTCCAAAAGACTTAGACTTTATATATTTACTTTGGAGTGACTGTAACATTTATGGATAATGAGTTCTAGAGACCGAAATGTTTTGTAATTTACATAATACCCAGAGATTGGTCATGTTTTGTATGCAGAAGAGCTCATACTATATTGTGTGTATCTGTGTGTATGTTATGTAAATGAAGTTGTATTGTTTTGTGTGTGTGTGTGTACCTGTCTAGCCCTCAGAGTGAGGACAATTTTTCCAATTTCCCCATCAAATTGAGGGCCAGTTGTTGCAAAGTGAGGACATTTTGCCGGTCCTCACATGCTGTTTTGCTAATGGTTAGGTTTAGGGCTAAGGTGTCAATTGGTTATGGTTAGGGTGACATATGCATGGGTAATGGTTAGGTTTAAGGTTAGTTTTAGGGTTAGGGCATAGAAAGGGGTTGAAAATGACTAAAAATCAATGGGAGTCAACGCATGGTCCTCACCAGTGGTGTCAAAATTACACACATCTGTTACTTAAATAGAAGTAAAGATACTGCAGTTTAAAAACACTCTGGTAAAAGTTGAAGTGTCAACTTGACCTCTTTACTCAAGTAAAAGTCAAAAAGTATGTGCTCCAAAAACTACTTAAAATATAAAAGTATAAAGTAACCTTTAAAAAAAAAACAGCCAGATGCCACCATATGAATTTTAAAGCTCAAATTTTTTTTTTGACTATTTCCAAAAATTCTTTGAGATAGGGCCAAGGATGAGGAAGGTCTTGTTGGTCTCCATCTCCCGATACATTCTCTCCTGTGTCCGACCTTTCAGACATTCCAACATCTTTTTCTGAATCCTACATTGTAGCATGGCATAGACAATTCATGTTTACAGTTTGAAGAACACCTGCTTGCTTCTCATGATTTCCTTTAGCTAACCAATGAGTGTTGCATTATATGACTCATCCAATTACACTAGTTTCCTCTAGATGTGGATGGCGCCAATGGTCTGCATTGGATGGAGCACATGATGGGAAATAAATACTTATAAACATTAAACTGAAGCCAAGAGTAACAAGTAACATTAGGTTTAAAAATGTAAGAAATAGAAAATACAGATACTAGTGTGAAAATGTAATGAGTAGAAGTCCGAAGTAGGAAGAAAAAGAAGTAATGGAGTTAAGTATAGATACCTAAAAAGTGTACTTAAGTACAGAAACCAAGTATTTGTACTTATTTACTTGACACCTCTGGTCCTCACTACGATGGAAGAACGAGTATGGGTGTGTGTGTGTGTGTGTACTTCTGTATTTGGTTTCATTGTTACACAGCCCTGATATAATATCTGTTATAAAATGTTAAGAACACAGGAAGAATAGCTACTGCTTTGACTCAGTAGCTAATGGGGAAATAAATAAACATAACAAACTTTCATTTAAATAAAACATAATTATTGTAATATAATACAAGAATTCTCCAATTCACACTAACAAACCTTTGTCTGGAAATAGACATATAAGGTTGGGTTCCCAGCAAAATAAACGTATATTTTGTAAGGTGGTGCAGATGTGGACCTATGGCACGTGAAGACAGCAGCGATTATTCATGTTGACAGCTGCAGGAGTTGATAGGGTGACGTATTCCCACTTGCGAAACTTGAAAAAAACTTTCTCACAGTTCCAAACTTTGTAAAGTTAACAATAAACACTTAATATAAAAACCCAAATGCTAGCCGACTAACATAATAAACGCTGAGAAAAGCTCGTTTCGCTCTGAGAGCGTCGATTAATCGGCGGTTATGTATGAGTTCCGGGTTTTATTTTGAAAAGCAGATCCGGAAGTAGTATCTTTACATCCAGCTTAGCTGTTATTGTCCTTAAAGCAGGGCGAAGGAGTGATTTGCTTTATCTGCTTTTCCATTTTTTTAAAAATTTTTTTAGTCTGTCGCAGCGTCTTTGAAACGGTTGTTTTTCTTCACCGGTAAATGAGTAAAAGTATCCGTTCCCGCGTCTTCATGAGTTGCTTTTGTTTGGAGGAAGTTTGCTGTAACTTTTCCTTTGCTCTGATTCCCACCGATGGACCGACGGGATTTTATCTTTATCATTTTTTAGGAAGAAGCACAAGTAGACCACATGGATTATAATGACCGTTATTAGCCAAAATGGTAAGCCATAGATTTACACAGAAATAAAAATTTCATATCAATATATTTTTAAGCTTTTTTTTTTATACCAAAGTTAATAACCGTTTGACAAGTTTTGCTAAATTAAAGTTACCTCGATGCTAACTGTCATAAACGAGCTCTATATGGGGAAATTAAAGCGTTATTAGCTCCTTATTTTGGCTAATTTTACAGAAGTGATTTAATACTTTCAATATGAACATTTTTAACAAATTTGAGTTGCCTACTTTTTACAAATATTTTAAGATTTATTTGATACTGCGAGTTTAAATTAGCGCCATGATTCAAAAGCTAGCTGCTATAAAAGCTTTTTTTTTAGTTAATATATTCCCTGAATGTATATCTAAAGTATCTGTAAGTTTAACCTTAAAGGTTTAAATCTTTTTAATGATATGTGATAAAGTGACCATCTTTAGAGGAATCCTCTAGCTGAACCTAAAGCTGTATTAGTGTTTTCTGTTTGATCAGTGATCTAAAGACTCTATCTTAGCTCAGTCTGTTTCAAACCAGCAGTTTTCCTTTATTACAGCATTAACTGTCACCGTTGATGATAAGCTTTTGGTTTCTTACAACACCTCACCTACACAACATGTCCTGTCATGCTGCCCATCTTTAGGAGGGCGTGTTGGGCTTGTTTCTGAAGGTACAATTAGCTTTAATTTACTTACCCAGTGATGAAGGGGTGCTTTCAACCTCTATGGTATCTGGTATGAAGGTTAAAAAAAAGCTGCAGAATATTTTACGACCTTTTACAGAGGTGTCACACAAAGGGGACCCAGATTTCCCTCACCTTTGGCTCCAGACTTACAGAGACAGTTAATGTCTACTTTTCCCTGACATACAGGAAGACCAAATACATTAAAACACAATAACAGGAGCATTCCAAAACAAAGAAAATTTGTTTTCCAAGTTTCAAGACGTTTCGCTTCCCATCCAGGAAGCTTTTTCATTTCAAAATGTAAGCAATAGCGTTGAGTTGGAGGTTTTATTCAGTAGCCCAACGAATATAAAGTATATAGCATCAAACTCAGCATTATTCCTGCCGTTTTGAATTGAAAAAGCTTCCTGGATGGGAAGCGAAACATCTTTAAACTTGGAAACAAAGTCCAGGTGATTGATTTTAATTTTCCTTTTTTGGAATGACTATGACCTGGATGACTGGGAACCAGCACAATAACAAGAGCACACTTTTTTAAATAAACACAGTTATTAAATTACAATATACATGCTACAAGTGATTTCTGTTAAGCAGCAAACTGCAGGCTAGGAGCTAGAGCAGTATGTTTAATTAACAAACTTTTGTCATCATATAAAACTGGTTTTATATGAACACATACTTACTACATGCTGTATAGTAAGTATGTGTTCATAAGTTGCAGTTTTATGGCTGATTTAATGGCCTGACATGCATTTTTCATTAGCTGTCCATCAATTTTCCACCTTGCTTATCCCAAGTGGGGTCGCTAGGGGTGCTGGTGCCTATCTGCTTAGCTGTCTACAGGCGAGAGGAAGGTTACATCCTGGACAGGTCGCCAGTCCATCGTAGGAAAACACAGAGACAAACAGGACCTAAACCCTAAGGAGAAGCCATTAGAGAAGCCAATGAACCAAACAGTCATGTTTTTGGACTGTTGGAGGAAGCCGGAGTACCCAGAGAGAACCCATGCATTCTCAGAGAGAACATGCAAACTCCATGCAGAAAGTTCCCAGGCCGGGACTCAAACCCAGAACCTTCCTTGTTGCAAGGCAGCAGTGCTACCCACTGTGCCACTGAGCAATGGGTAGTGGGTCACTAATCATCAAATTGTAAATAAGAATTGAATTAGCTAAATGGAAACACAGCAATTTTGAAAAAAAACTTTTTTCAATAAAAAGTTTTTACGCATCAGTGAGGGTTTTTTTTCCACCTCATATCAAAATTCGTATATTTCGCAAAACTGCAATGGAAACAACTTTCATTGTGTTTGCTACGTCATGAAAACATCGTAATTCCACAAATTAGCATTTTCCTAATTAGCAGAATATCAACATAGTTTTGCGCACGTTTGTAATGGAAATACTGGTACTGTCTTCTGTTTTAAGATCGCAAGAGATCTTCAATATTTCAATGTTATCTTTAAAGAATATAATCAATGCTGGTGAAACAATAAAAACTTCTCCAGCAACTGCAGTCAAATATGAATCAAAGTTTAGCGCATTCACAGTCGCTGATTTTCAGACCATTGCAGAGGTATATAGGATTGGTTTCATATCTAAATATCAGCTCATCCTTATCTCCCAGAATTAAGGAAATTAAGCCTTATTGGTCAGCTGATGAATTGGACAGATATTGTCCGAATCGAAATAAGCACTTGAAAAGTTTAGAAAAGCGGTAGGTATTACTGTATATTATTATTTCCCTTATAAATAAAATTATATAATGCATTTTAGTTTTTAAACATTTTGTTCAAACATAAAATTGCATTTAATTTACTTGATTTATGTTGTTTTGATTAAGGATATCATACAGTGTGAACCAACCCATGCATATTTGCAACAATTTCAACCGACTATCATACAGCTGGTTTATTTCTTAGTTTTTCAGCGATTGGCACTACATGATGTGTGAACGTAAACAGTCCAAACATAGCCGAAATCAATGGTCACAAATCACTCTACACCGTAATTACAGACAGGCTGGGATCCTTTTTCCTGCTGCTCAGGAAACAAAACTTCTGCGTTCCTGTTTAATACAAACAAGTGTTACAAAAAAAGAAAAGAAGTATGTCAGTTTGAGAGATGCATTGTCATCTCCAGGTCTGGAGTTTTTTAGGGCAGCATTCCAGTGCAGACACATGCATTTAATTTAGGTCAAACCGAACAAAAGCATCACTTTTTTCCCAACCATTTTTTGCTGTCCCTCCCGACCCTCCTCTCTTCCTAATGTGTAGGAATGCAGCTCATAGAGTTATGATGATGTTGAGCGTTGCTGTGGAATTTTACCATGTGTCTGTCTTTTCCAGATCCTCTCAGCTCGCTAATGTGCAACGTGTCCTAATAGTTTGGTTCCAGTGAGAGGGGCCGCTGTGCATAAGCATGCAGCGGTTGCGTTGATGTTGACTCAGAATATGAGTCATAGCGGATCCAGATCTGAACTGCTTCACGTCCAAGAACATTTGTTATCGTTTTATTTACTACAGATAGATGAGGCAGTTCATTCCATCCTATTTATTTATGTAGTGGTTGAACCTCCTATATTCCATCATCATTCTTGCATCCAAAGGTAGATTATCAGTTGTCTCTGATTCTTTATGTTCGCTCTGGGATTTATCTAGATTTTTATCGGTTAAAACTCCACATTTGTTTCTAGGGGTTCAGATTAGAGTCTGTAACACCTTGACCGAGGTTGTAAATTAACATGCGCATAAAATACCAACAGTGGTAGTTGTAAATCAAGTTTGGTCCCCCTGTGAAATAAAACTGGCTGAGACATGCATGTCCCAACATGTGTGGAAAAGGAATTTGGATATGACAAAACCAAATCCGCGTCACTACACAGAGACGAGAAAATAGAAGTGCACTTACAGGTCTGGTAAACAAGAGAAAACATGAAACAAGTGTTTTTTTTTTACTTCAAATCTTTGGTATGGCAGTATTTTATTCGGTAATGTCCTTATTTTTTTGTGGGGTGAGCTTATGGTAGAAATGTAAAGCTGGAATTTTGTTGCTGATGTTAATGTTTTCTGTAAAGCTGCGTTTTAATGATGACAATTAAATTATAAGTTACAGCGGCAAGATTGAGTAAAACAGTGTTTTAATAACATTTTAAGACAAAGCTAATTTTTCTTTTGAACAGCTTTTTCATTATTTTTATTTTTATCAGTGTTTTTTTGTGTATTAATACAGAATGCGAAACATAAATCATTACCTTAAAGTTGTAGGGACGTCATATTTAAATTTTAAATAATTCTGGCTTAAAGATGTATATAAATGTACTCTTTATCAGACAACTTCGTCCCTCCTTTCCTTCTCTAAATAAAAAATGTATGACGGAGGAGACTCATCCATGACCTCCGACACAAAACTCTCCTCCTCTTGCATGTTTCCGCTGTCCATAGTGTTCCTTGACAGTGTCGTTTCTAAGTCACCAATTTAGTGCTACTTGGTCCCAATGGAATTTGACATTTGGAACCTACTAGCACTAAGTTGCTAACTGGTTAGCAAGATGCTTCAGAGACACCGGCCATCACGGAACTTGCTTGCGAACCTTCCGGCAAAACAATCCCGCTCCCTTGATAATTGACCAATCACATTCACTTTGTTCACTAGTGTGAAGTCGGGCACCAATCGGGAGAATACGGAAATGCAACGGTTGGAAGAGCCGCTTTCCTACGACTTTAACTGATAGATCTTTTTTAAATTCTGCAAGGCTTTCAAATCATGTTTCATTAAACAGCCTTCTTGTTATCTGCTCAGTGTCTCGCTCTCTCTAACCCTCTTGTAGCTTCCATGAACCCATGTTGTATATGATGCCATTATCTTAAAGAGCTTCTTGCAGCTCAGTTTCCTCTGAATTCAGTTTAAACACCTCTAGGGCTGCAACAACGAATCGATAAAATAGATAAAAATCGACTTTTAAAAGCGTTGGCAATGAATTTCATCATCGATTAGTTGTGTCACGCGATTAATGCGTCATCCGCCGCCGCAGTCATCATATCCACTTGACTGAAACGGGGGAAGAAAAAAAAATACGGCAGAGCGACTCGGCGCCGCAGGTGCAGTGTTGCCAACTCAGCGACTTTCAGACCCCTCCAGCGACTATTTTTCAAAAAAGCGACCAGCGACAAATCTGGCGACTTTTTACGGTGTCACTGGCGGCTTTTGGAGACTCTTACGTGAAAGCATGTATCGTTCCTACTCTGCCGTGGGGCGCCTCCCCCATCCCAACCCCGTTCTCCCTCATCCCAACCCCGTTCTCCCTCTCAGCGCTGCAGTCAGAGCCGCAGGATGTTTACCCTCAGCGTCCAGACTGCAAATGAAGCGCGCATGCGCCGGGATTGACGGCGCAAATTGATCACATTAATTAAAATAGCCTGCGCTTTGTAAAGTGAAAAAAGTCGTAACATGCAACTTTTGTCAAAACAAATTAACATGGCACGGAAGCACCATGTTTGTTTCGTTTTAAAGTGGGGAAACGTAACGTTAGTTTCTCAGGTAGCTCATCTGATGCTTTCCTTACCTTGTTAGTAGGTTACAGACAGTGATAAGGTTGGCTACTTATTTTACTTTTAATTTCATTTGAATTAGCTTAAGCAGCATTTAAATTTACTTTATAAATAAATTAACTTGCAAATTATGAGGGCAAGGCTTTTAAAGTTTAAATCTTCTGGCAAAGATAAAGTAAAGAAGATCCTGCAATTTATGGAAGTAAAGCAGAATAAAATCCAGCAAGATCAGTAATATGTCAATTAATTATATGCCACATTCCCATGTAAATATCTGTCTTTGGAGGATGTGTTTTTTAGCAACCCTAGTTCTCTCATTTTTATTCCAAATACAATTTATAATTTGAATCACAGGGCTATTTTTATCTAAAAAATAATCTGCCAATTCATCGATTTTTAAAATAATCGTTAGTTGCAGCCCTAAACACCTCATAGATGCTGAACTCTTACGACGGAGTATTAGGGCCAAGCTAGAGATTTTTTTCTTCTATTTCGAGAATAAAGTTGTAAAATAACGAGAATAAAGTCATAAAATAACAAGAATAAAAAATAAATTATGTGAAGTTATAATTTGGCTCTGGTTTGAAAAATAAGGAAATCTTTTAACACCAGCATCAAATTGGGAATTAGGTCAAAGTGGACTCAGGTTGCTGTTTGGTTGGTTGCTGGTCGACCGTCACATGGTGGTCCTAGCTTGAAGCTTTCTTTCTGAAACAGGTTATTTTAAGATGACTTCATTCTCTTAATATTGCAACTTTATTCTTGTATTGTTACTGCTTTATTTAAAAAAAAAAAAAAATCTCTAGCCTGGCCCCAATACTCCTTCGTAGAACTGGCCACTACTTCCAAAACTGAGAAGTATCCAGTTATAGCAACATAGAAGCTTTGATCACTGATCAAAAACACATTTTTAAGTGTCCTCGATAAAAGCTGGTCGAGCTGAAAGTTGTTCAGCCTGACGCTGATGCTCCAGACTTCTGGTGCATCACAGATAGGGATCAGAAAAGCCCAGGATTTTCTTTAAGAACACATATACAAATAAGTGAGAAAGGAGCAATGTTTGATGCCTTAAACTTGAAGTTTATCTAATTTACAAACCTAAAGTTCTACTTCAGCTTCACTTCCAAGAAGCTCGGTTGGAAATTCCTGATTGTGGAATCTTTTTGAACATTATCTCCCTGACTCAGATTGGAGCCCATACTTTCCAGTCCTTTGAACAGCGGCTTTGTTCAGCTGCAGGACTTTGTTGCATCACTGGCATTTCATATTTAGCCAGCAGTGAGGTTTTCGATGACAGCGGCGCAGAATTCCCCTCAGGCTGATGGAGGGTTTGGACAGCTCAGGCCACAAACCAGCTGCAGAAAGTTCTTCTAATCTTGCTCCTTGTCGCCATCTTTCTTCTTTAGATGTATTTTTTTGCAGCTGGTTCCCTTAAATCCTAGTTTTAACTTTTAAATCCATGTGACCCTGAAATGTGATGTTTGGGTTTACGTTTCTAAAGCACTGAGTAATTTTTTTTTCTTATTTTTTAGATTGTTTACATAATGAAGCAGGAAGATGTGACGTTTGGCTCATACCTGAAGACACCTCAAGGCTATAAATCTATTTGTTATTAACGTCTGGACAAAACAACACCTGATCAAGTGGATCTTCCCCTCCCTGTTTGTTAAAAAGCCCTTCATGTGTTCACTAATGGTCAACTGGGGGTGAGCTGATTTCTCCCTCCCAACATGCTGGCTCTGAGAGTGGAGCAGGCCAGGCGGGAGCTGGCTGAAGCTGATCACCTGCCAAAAGAGGCCACCCCTGTTCGGCAGGGCTGGCAGTCAGGGAGGCCGGTCTTGCACAATTGTATAAACATTAAGGAGAAGATCTCCCAGTGGGAGATTCGGAGTCAGCAGAGCGGCAGCCAGGACGCTGGAGTCAGAGCACATCCACCCATCATATCCAGAACCCTGTCAGGTGACCTGCTGGGCTATGGCTGTTCTAACAAAAGCTTGGGAGTCGGGATTCAGGCTAAAGACAGCCGCTCAAGAGCAAAGAGTACTGAACTGGATTTTAGGGAATCTCCGTCGCAGGTTGGGCACAGTGTTGCCGGTCGAAAGTCGGAACCATTGAGGAACTTTTCCGCTCCGTTTTCAGCCACATCCCCTGGAAAAAACATAACACAACATTTAGCATCTTCTAAATTAGAAGTGGACACCCTTTCTTCAGCCGATCCGGTCTTCTCAACCATCACAGATCCCAAAGTTGATCGTATTCCAGACGTCTTAATAGTCTCCAAGCCTCTACCTCCATCAGCCGGCGATCAGGAAGACAACATGCCTGCTGGAAACTTCTACACTTCTCGGGGGTTCTGGCGGAAGCTGGAAGGGGACAGACTGCTCTGGGAGAGCGGCAGGAGCAGTGTAGGTGAAACCCCGCCCCCTCCCAAACCTCAGCGGACATTCCAGTATCGTGGAACCACCATCAACAACAACAAGATGAACCATGCGGTGCAGTGGGACGGCAGATCCTCTCATAACGACAACCGCTCTACAGTGAGGAGCAGGAGGGTCGTAAAGCCGCCGAACTTCCCACCCCCGCCATGTCCTGTTATACAGATCGAAGGGCTATCAAGGCATAAAAAGAGCAGGTAAGGCCAAAAAGCTCATTACAGGTAATGGTTAGTTACTTTAAAAAATTGTTTTATTTATAACTTAATAGGAAGAAAGCTTAACCAGGCAGCATACTGGTTTTACTATTTAAGTAATACAATCATTTCCACTATATAATCATCATTTAACTTATTATTGATTTTTCGTAGTTCATTTATTATTCATTATAAATAATTGCTCTAAAAAGATAGCTTATTTTCACTATTCCTATTGTTAATCTGGATTCTAATTGTCCAGGTTTTCTATCACAAATACCTCCTAAAGAAAGGTTAAAAAGTGGTTAAAAAAGTATTCGACCTACATCCCTTTTAAAAATGTCTGACTTGCATAATAAATGTAGAAAAAGTTCCAGCTATAAAGTCTTTATTACCACTTAAAGGCACACTATGCAACATTTTTCAGTTAATTAATGTGTTCCATAACGTTTTGGATGATTAAATGAGTCATTTCAGGTTGAACAAAGGTATTCTCGGCCGCCCTGGTGGTCTGTGGGGGAAATACTGCACTTGCAATTGCAGGAGCACCGACCCGCACCCACAGGCTCAGAAGTCTCGTGAGAGTCAGTCTTGCTTTACGGCAAGAACTGCTACACGCCCCCAGTTAAAAGCATTCTCGTTGCTAGCACAGTGGCGATCTTTGTGCAGTTATGCTACGTTCACGCAGCAAAAGTAGCAAAATCGCGTCTGCTGCTTCATTTTTGCTGCTTGTACCAGTTTAGTTCTGTCGCGCGGCTGAAGCAGCTTTGCTGCTCTGGCTGCGCGGTGCAAAAGTGTGTCTGACGCGCTTTGGGCGGAGCTTCACTATCCTTTCTCTGCTGCTTTGCTGTGATCAGTGGGAATAAAGTAGTTTTAATATGTGTTTAAGTGAGAAAATACACCTGAAACATAATCAGTGCAGTCAGTTCATTCAGATTATTATCCTGCCTTTAATATTTTTTCTGTCGGAGCCGCTCAGACCCCCACATACCAGCGCCGACAGTAGGGATCCCTTCATCAGCAGCCTCTGGCCTGGTCGCCTCCTCGCGGTTCACCGCAGCAGCTGGTAGGCGTTTTTCATCAAAATAATCCAAACTGCATATTCTGCTGGCAGATTTCTGCATTTTAAGTTAATTTAGGCGTCAATAAACTGTTTGAGAGGAGTGATCATCAGCGCTGTGTCTCTCTCCCTGCGTCAGATGCTTAAACACGCCCGATGCGCTGCTTCAGCTGCTCAGACGTGCTGCGCCTGCTGCTCAAAACGCGCCGCGGGACCTTTTGCTGCGCCTTGACGTTACGTTGCATGTAAACTTGCTGCTTCTGTCGCGCCAGCTGCGGTGTGAACGCAGCATTAGTCATTCGTTGCGTTCGCCTGTCTGCTAAGCTCAAAACAACCGCGCCTGGCTTGACGGAGAAACCAGGAGAACAGCTGTGCATATTTACGACAGTGCACTTTTACTTTCGCCCTCTGGGGGGAGCCTCGCTGGAAAATCAACACCGGTTGCATAGTGTACCTTTAAGATCCTGTTAAAACCTACATAAATGCATCTCTGTTCAACCTCTTTTTGTGAGCACTTTGCTTTATTGTTTGACAACAAAAAGATTACAAGACATCATTAGTTTTCAGTTAGTTGTGCAGGTAGTGGGTTGGACCACAGCATTTACTAAATCTCACTGGTTTCCCTATTTTCTACTGGGATTTGATATAATAACATATACAGCTCATGGTTCTAACTTCTGGGTCAAATTAAAGGTTGGATATGTTTCCATTTTGAGCCCCTGAGGCCATGTGCCTTAAGCTTGATAAGTTGTATAATTTCTGAGATGTATTTTAAATAAGAAAAGATGTAGTTCTTTATTTTGAGTTCTCATGTTGGCTGTGTTTCCTAAAATGTTATGATCAGCTGCGCTTACGACATCAGAGTATCCCCCACTTCTTTAGGACTGTTTAAAAGCAGACTAATAAGATGTAATCAATTTGTCATCAACTGGATATCAGACATTTTTTTAAAATGTTAAAAGCGCAGGTTGTTGTGTTTAGTTAAAAACTGGGCTATTTCTTCAAACCAGGAAGTGTATTAGGGCCAGGTTAGAGATTTATTTTACATTTTGAGAATAAAGTCGGAACATTACGAGAATAAAGTTGTAATATTGCCGGAATAAAGTCGTAACATAACGAGAATAAAGTCATCATACAACAACCCGTTTCAGAAAGAAAGCTTTGAGCTCCGACCAGCATTTGAGGGTCGACCAGCACCACCAAACAGCAACCTTTATTCTCGTAATTTTATGACTAATCTCGTGACTTTTTTCTTGTAATGTTACGACTTTTTTTGCATAATTTTATGACTTTATTCTCATAATTTTACGACTTTAATGTCGTAATTCTATAAATAATCTCATTGTGACATTTTTCTCGTAATATTACTTTATTCTTATAATTTTACGACTTTATTCTCGTAATTTTACAACTTTATTCTCAAAATAGAAGAAAAAAAAAAATCTCCCGCTTGCCCTAATACTCCGTTGTACAGAAGAGAGCATTTTACACAAAGCGTGATTTTAATCCTCCTCCTCGATTGACGTCATCCATGGAAGGATGCTAACATTAGCCCGCCAAGCTATCACCAGGATTTCCCCAATCAGAGACTTGTGAAACTTTTAACTTAATGTGTAAAAAACCATAACTCCATGATAAACACACCATGGCTTACTGCTGATGCTGCTAATGCTGCAGCCACATGAACACACAAACAAATGAATTTCATGTGCATACAGTAACCTAACAAGGAAAGTAAATAATAATTTTATCTTTTTTTTCTGCAAATGATTCATTTTTTTTTTAAAGCTATAGTGTGTAACTTTTAGCGACATCTAGCGGTCAGACTGCAGCAACATGAACATCCCCCCCCCCCCCCCCCCCCCCCCCCACCGCTTCTCCCCCCAAACAGTACGGCGAGCGTAATGGGACAAAATGTCTTCCACGACGTCCACATCACCTACCTTCTCAAGTGATGAGGTTTGTTTACATAGATAATTTTACAGATAGTATTTCATTAGTCTGTGTAGGGTATAGATTTCATGTAGACTTAAGATAATAAATATACCCGTTATTTTTTCTACATCGTTGTGACGTTTTGGCGATCTCGCAATCACTAGTTTGTTGGCTCTGCGCTGCCGTAGCGCAAAGATGTCTGCCTCCATGGCTGCGAGACCCGCTCCTATGTAATTATAAATAACGAATTCTAAGGCAACGCAAATATTTAAGAGGCTGAGCTCTTAGATGATGATAAATAACATAGTTATGTATAATATATTACATTTCTGACTGTATATCCCTGTAATTATTACACACTGTAGCTTTAAAGACAATTTCAGAAGGATTTTTTTAATGTAAAATACCCAATTATGGCTCCGTTAAGAAGGTAACAAAATTGTAACTTGCTAACCTTAAGCTGCTAAAGACTGAACACTGTTGTCTACTTTGAAGCTTCTTGTATTTAAACTGAATCTTGGTTCCTTAAAAGGACGGTTTCAGATTAATCCAACTGTTTTTTTATATTGGCGAAAAGAAAAATAATTTATAGTTGTTTTTTTTTTTCAAAAAAATAGCTAAAATCTTGATAGTTTTTTAATTTTTATTTTGTATCATCGTATTGTTCCAGCCCGAAACAAGCATGGCGTTAGTGTTATTCATGGTTCACTGAGCATATGCTGTTATTAAATGCATGCTTCCTTTTTTTGTGGCTGCAGGGCTGTTTGGGAGAGGTTCTATTGTCAGATTTTAATTACTGTCTGGGGTCAAAATCTGCTTGGTAGTTCTCTTTTCTTTTGTCTAGATGTGGCCTCATTCGTCAGCACCAGTGGGTCCAGATCATTATCTTTATTCACATGAACAGATCACAAAAGGCCCCGCAGAACTACATTAGCTATGTAGTTATTAAAGATGTATATTTATATCCATCTTCTTTACTGTAAAGCACCAGTAGAATATTAGCAAAGATACATTAAAACTGTACAAATTAAGTATTCTCCTTTTTCTTTCCTTAAACTAGTAATGAACTCCATTTTCATGATTGATACAAGCTTACTGGTTCAAATGAAGCCAGTATCTCCTTCCATTTTTGTGCATCAGAAAACGCATCCACCAGGAGACAATATTGCATCACATTTAGGCAAAATTTAGAAATAGTTTCTGCAATTAACCAAACTATCACCACACTGCGTTACAGAAGCATGTAAAATAAGAGATTGGGACATTTTTCTTTGTTAACCTCAATATTCTTGTATTTTATGCCATGAATATTAAACGTTGTCTCTCACGTTTTGCATCACAAAGGAACTTTTTCTTGGAGGCCTGAAATTATAGAAACACACCGGTCAGGGTTTTACTGATTCAGATTAATGTCAGCATCTGACCGTTTCCTTTTCTTTCTCTCTTTCTGTCTTGAGAATTTTAACACAAAAGAAAAACTTTATGTTGCAGAAGATTTTACTTTTGAGTGCATGTCTGTAACCTTTATAACATTTTTATTAAACTTAGAAAACTGTTAAAAGTTGTTTAGATAAAAAGAAATGTAACTTATTAAATTCAGTTTGCAAAACAAAAAAGTGATTTATTTTGTTCTTACTATATTACCTTCCAATAACTGATCGAAGTCAATCATTTGAAATTTGGGATATTGGTTTGTGTTTTTTATGCAGTACAGACCAAAAGTTTGGACACTCCTTTTCATTCATTCCCTTTTCTTTATTTTCATGACTATGAATACTGAAGATTCACACTGAAGGCATCAAAAATATCAAAAAACACATGTGGAATTATATACTTAACAAAAAAGTGTGAAACAAATTAAAATATGTCTTATATTCGAGGTTCTTCAAAGTAGCCACCTATTGCATTGATTACTTCTTTACACACTTAGCATTCTCTTGATGAACTTCCAGAAGTAATCACCTGAAATGGTCTTCTAAGAGTCATGAAGGAGTTTCCCGAGAAGCTTAGCACTTGCTGGCCCTTTTGCCTTCACTCTGTGGTCCAGCTCACCCAAAACCATCTCCATTGGGGTCAGGTCATCTGGCGCAGCACCCTATCACTATTCTTCTTGGACAAATAGCCCTTACACAGCCTGGAGGTGTGTTTGGGGTCATTGTCCTGTAGAAAAATAAATGAAGGTCCAACTAAACGGCAAAATCAGATGGAATAGCATGCCGCTGCAAGATGCTATGGTAGCCATGCTCAGTATGCCCTCAATTTGAACAAATCTCCAACAGTGTCATCAGCAAAGCACCCGCACACCATCACACCTCCTCCTCCATGCTTCATGGTGGGAACCAGGCATGTAGAGTCCATCTGTTCCCCTTTTCTGCATCGCACAAAGACACAATGGTTGTAACCAAAGATCTCAAATTTGGACTCATCAGACCAAAGCACGTTTTTCCCACTGGTCTAAGTCTCTTCTGCTTGTTGCCTGTCCTTAGCAGTGGTTCCCTAGCAGCTATTTTACCAAGAAGGCCTAATTCACACAGTCTCCTCTTAACACATGTTCTAGACATGTACGTGCTACTAGAACTCTGTTTGGCATTGACCTGGTCTCTAATCTTAACTGCTGTTAACCCGCGATATCTGAGGCTCGTGACTCAGATGAACTTATCCTCCGCAGCAGAGGTGACTTTTGGTCTTCCTTTCCTCGGGTGGTCCTCATATGAGCCAGTTTCTTTGTAGCGCTTGATGGTTTTTGCGACTGCGCTTGGGGACACTTTTAAAATTTATACTAGGGATGCACGATATTGGGATTTTGGCCGATATCCGATATGGCGATATTTTAAAACTCATAAAGCTGGACAAAAATAAAAAAATAATTGAAAATAGCAGTTTTGTTATCCATTTCTGACACTTTGAAAAATAATATACGGTACTATATATATTTTCATATGCCGATATCAAATTGATTTTTAAAAACGCGGTATCGATCTATTTTACTTTCAAAATCTCGAGAAATTTCATCGTTCTGTTACAAACTCTCGTGATATTTTGCAAATTCTTGTGAGATTTTGTTAGTAAAATAGATCGATACCGTGTCAATATATCAACATATAAAAATATGGCAAAATTGCGATGACATATAGCAATATTTCATTAGTAAAAGAGATTGATATGGTGTTTTTAAATTGCAATATATCAGCATATGAAGATATTGTGATTTTTTAATGTATCAATATTTTTTCCCTCGTCTTTAGAAGTTTTTAAGTCTGTGAAAAAGAAGTTTTTGAGGAAGAAGAAGAAGTAGTATTTTTATTTTTTTTTAGACTTTAGAAACTCAGATGCTGATAAAATATCGGGTTTAATATCGGTGGGGTGGCCGATGTCCGATATTCAGTTTTAAGGCCGATACAGGCCGATACCGATAGGGGGCCGATTATATCGTGCATCCCTAATTTATACATATACATATGTGTATATATATATATATATACATATATGTATGTATGTATGTGTGTGTGTGTGTGTGTGTATTAGGGTTGTCACGATACTAAACATTTCAACTCGATACCATAAGGATAAAACAAAGACTCCAAAATTCTACAGAAATATTTTAATTAATAAATAAATACAATAAACAATAAGAACAATATTTTGAGGTTGTTTGCTGTGTACAATATTAAGCAAGCTTGATAAAAAGCTTTCCTTACTTGGCTATGCTTTGCACACATAACAATGACACTAGCCAAACCTGTTAAAGCTACAGTGTGTAATAATTACAGGCATATAAATTCAGAAATTTAATATATTATACATAACTATGTTATTTATCATCACCTATGAGCTCAGCCTTTTAACCATAACATTTGCGTTGCCTTAGAATTCGTTATTTATAATTACATAGGAGCGGGTCTCGCAGCCATGGAGGCTGACATCTTTGCGCTACGGCAGCGCAGAGGCAACAAACTAGCGATTGCGAGATCTCCCATGACGCTCGAAAATAACTACGGCAAGTTGAGAGAGATGAACTGAGACGGTACTGAACAGTAGATGGCAGTATTATGCCTGAGAAGCGTTTAGTCTGCCTGAAACCAAAGAAGAAGAAGAAGCAGGTATACTGCGCCTCGGTAACAAGAAAGGTAAACAAGGCGGCAGGCGTGAGTGACTTTGCAAACTGTTTGGCACTGTTTGGCCAAACATCAGACGAATGGAGGATCATGCCTACTCTGTATCACAACGAAAAGCGGCGGACACCGAACCCCCGTCATCTAAGAAGCGGAAACACGACGAGAATAAACGCAAGAGTGACAAGAAACGACAAAAAACACGGATCAACATTGGCACGGCATTTACACGATGGAAGTCACTGATGGAGGAAAAAGGTTTTCAAAGTGACGCTCAAGTTGCCAGTTTTCTCTTGGACAGGTAATTAATCCTATACACACAATTGTCTAATATCACTGCAGTTTTTGGAGTACAGGATGCTCAGACCTGTCTAAAACAATAACATGCTGCGTGATGATGCTGTTACTCTCCAGTATACTTATTCAGCAACGTCCCTGACGTTTCACAGGTAATGATTCAGTAATTTTCTGTAAAATAATTTTCTGGATATATACCTCGGTTACTTCTCTCCGGCTCCTTTGGAGATCTTCAAGCCTTTCCTCCTCTGCTCTCACCCCGCTGGCTCCCCTCTCTCGCCTGGCCCCAGCTGCACGCTCACCCCGGCCTCTCTGCCCTCTTCCTCTCCCTCTTCCTTGCCTTGTAACCCCCGTGCCACAAACAAGACTTGGACTCTGTAAACGGGGAATATATATTCTTCCAGCGAACACAATCTCGCTGTTAAACTAATGACTACAATTACTTCGTCTGTTTATATCACCATGCAAAGCAGCTCACCAAAACGTCACAACGACGTAGAAAAAATAACGGGTATATTTATTATCTTAAGTCTACATGAAATCTATACCCTACACAGACTAATGAAATACTATCTGTAAAATTATCTATGTAAACAAACCTCATCACTTGAGAAGGTAGGTGATGCGGACGTCGTGGAAGACATTTTGTCCCGTAACGCTCGCCGTACTGTTGGGGGGGAGAAGCGGTGGGGGGGAGACGTTCATGTTGCTGCAGTCTGCAGTCTGACCGCTAGATGTCGCTGAAAATTACACACTGTAGCTTTAAGAAACAAAAATAATTCTCAGCAGCTGCACCTGTTACAAAAAAATTCTGAAACTGAAAAGTGCACAGAATTATTCAATCACACAGTGTTCAGAAAGTGCATTGTCCTCTATTCTGCACTTTAGATGAATGACTGTTTAGGTGCCACCAGTGGTGGCACTGTACAACTATATAACTATACAACGTTTCAGTATCGATACTTTTTTGAATATTGATACTTTTGACGACCCTAATATGTATATGTATTTGTTAAACACTATGTGACCATATGTTCTGTTCTGGATACAGGAAGTCCTTTGAGTACGAAGACGCATCCCGTCTAACAGCCCAGCAGGGTACTGTGGGAAATGGAGACATCCACCCTGACCTTTACCATGCCTACTCTGATGACAACATTTATGAAGACATTGTGTGTAAGCCAATTCCTTTTTTTAATATATATCTGCAGTTTAAAACAGCAGGGCAGGAAGTCATGGACTAGTGGGTGGCTGTCAGTGATTAGATGGTTATTTTTAGTATAAGCTTTCCTGGAACTCATGTGGTAATTTAACGATTTCTGACTTCTACTGAATGACGTTAAAATGCATCTCTTTTTTATAAGAATAAATATTTTTGATTTAGATTTTTGGCCTTTTCCACGATAACAGAAATATGCTTCTCAAAAAGTCACTTTTTCCTTTTTTTGTCTCACATAGATTTTATATTGTTCAAGATATTTAAATGTGTCATTTAGAAAAAGTAAAGGTTCAAAATAAAACATCTTTATATGTTTCAGATTGTGCCTATCATCTTAAAGTATTTGTTTTATTGGCCGGATTCTAACCGGCTCCACTTAAATTGCTTTAAGGCCTGAGGTTGCAATCATTAAGTTTAAGGCCATTTTAATCTTGCACCTGCAGATGAGGGAACCAGGGATTACCCCTGTGACGACGTCAAGCTGTCCACCATGTGTCTTCCTGCAAGGCCCCCTCTTCCAAAGGTACGAAGAAGGATTTTTGATACCTTTTGGAGTTCTTTGTAAGAATATCCTAATTGGTATTTTTATCAGACACGTGTTCCTCTTAACACTCTTAGCAATGATATATAAGATAAAAGACACATTTTTTTTCCTTTGCAGGGCATGTTGTGCCCACAGGATTACTTTAAGAGAATTGTTTCATTTATAAATACATGTCTAACTAGTCATGGACCTAAAGTCCTTGGTAAACTTTATGTTTTGTATTTTCATTTAGTTTTCCTGAATGCTAAACTAACAGTACCATATTTGTTTTGATATGACTTGTTGATAATTCAACATGTAGTATATTTAAAGGCCATCCCAGCTGTTTAAGAACAAACCTGCAGAAGAAGCTCTTCTGCTTCTTAACTCTTTATTTTCTGTGTTCTTTTAAAGCTTTGTCATATGAGGTTTCCCAGTTTTCCCTTATACGGTCTGTGTTTCTAATAGGTGAAAAATATTATCACTTGGGAAATATTTGTTTAAATAAAGCAAATAAAAGAAAATAAAGTTTGCAGCATATTTACCGATAGTTGCTGATAGAATCACATTGAGAGTTAAGTTAACTCAGGGAATCTGATACCTGGGCTAAACATCTCTATTCATAATGGTTAGCTGTTTCTATGGGTAAGTTAAAATGTTAACTAGGCCTGAAAAATTTAATTGGATTAATCGGGATTAATTGATTATTGAAATAATCGTCAACTGATTTAGTAATCGATTTATCATTAGCTGGAATATAAAGACTCTAAAACATGCCTTTAGCTGCCAGAGTGACCCACTCAACTTTGAATCAATTTGACTGGATGATCTGGTGAACTGAAAAGTGCCTTGAGATGACATGTGCTGTGAATTTGAGCTATATAAATAAACTAAACTAACCTGAACTGAACTTGGAGCAGAAAAAAAACTTTTTCGACAGTCAATATGCTCTATCTGGAACTCCTCAAGTGGAAATGTTTTAGTTTTAACTGGTTTAAGTTTGTAAAAATCTTTGCAGATCTTTTAGCTATCCGATTATTAATCAATTAATTGAAAAAATAACCAACAGATTAATCATTTTGCAAAATGATCATTAGCAGCAGCCCTGTTAGTGTAACACTCCTTCCCTGATCACTTCAGGAGAAATGAATTGTCATAAACCTGAGTCATAATTCCACATTTCCTGTTTCAGTTTCCTCCCAAACGTCAAACAGTGCAAGGATACACAGGAAAGGTGGAGAAGAAAGTATCTCGGGCTTTTTCTGCATCCAAAGCCTCAACCTTTGCACAAGCTCCCAAACAAGCAACACCTCGAAACGCCAGCTCTCAGAAGGTCCACAGGACTCCTCAGGTAAAGCTTCCTATTTTCATCTACATACTTCAGCTGGGTAGGAAATATAAGGCGGTGAAACGTTGAGTCATGCTTTAACTGTCAGAGCATGGATGAGGCGGTAACTTGCTGGGCAGGAAGGAGAGGATGCTGAGAGAAACAGATAGGAGCGTTCTTCTGGCACACTTAGAGGGCACATTAAGGGGAACGCTAACCTGGAACTCATGGCTTTAGGAAGTTACTGGTCAGGGAAAAACTTTAACTGCAAGGTAATCTACCAAACATATGAAAAAGTTTGCGGCTGTCTGTCACTTTAACTGGTTTACTGTCTTGTTGGGTTGATACCAGTTGTTTCTTTTTTAGATCTTGTTTTAAAATATTTTCTGTTTGATTCCTTCGGAGACGGGAGATGAAAATGTGTAAAAAATATGACATAAAAATCGCTTTATTTCAGTTCTTGTAGATTTGATCATGTTTATTTCATTTAGAGCATTGATTCAGTAATGTCTCTCTCCTAAAATTGCATCTTCTGCCTTTAAACAGCAGCTCTCCTCTAAGGGAGCTGTTTCTACTTCCCTTTTCTGCTTCTCTTCTTCTAAAACTGTGGTAATGTAGATGGTAGATGTAGATAACTCACGCTTCTTTTCGTTCTTCTTCTATTTTGCAACATTAGGCCTCAGAAATGTGCAGTAAATGCATTTTACTCCACATTTAAAGTTGTGTTTTGGCATTGGGTTGTTTTATGTCCCATTCAGGGTAAAAAAAAAAAAAAAAAAGTTTAAAGTTCCCGCAACCCTTTTTATGGCTTTCTGTCTTTTTTAGTCATCATTCTTAGACAACCATTTATTTGTAGGTTTTTGAAGGTTATCATAAATGTATTCTTAAAATTATGGCAGTCTATGTCATGTAAGGAGTTATAGATTAAGATACTTTTAAATCGTGTTTATTTTCCTTTATCCTCATTTTTACAGCTACGTCTTTTGTGCGTTTTCCATCTTAGCTAACAATTTAAATAGAGGTGAAACAATTAATCGGATTAATCATGATTAATCGATTATTGAAATAATCGTTAAGTAATTTAGTACTCGATTAATCATTTGCTGGATTGTAGAGACTTTAAAACATACCTTTAACCGACAAAGCAACCCACTTAGAGCAATAACTATATCCAAATTGTAAAAAAAATATGTCAAAATTTTGCATTTAACATTAAAGTATGTTTTCGTCTGTCAATATTCTCTGTCCTCAAGTGGAAAAAATTTTGTTTCAGCTGATTTAATTGAATAAAAAGTATTCTTTAAGGAACCTTCTGCTATCCGATTATTAAACAAAATAATTAATACATTAATAAATTTGCAAAATAATCGTTGGTTGCAAGCCTAAATTCAAATGAGCTGAGATTTATCTAAGGTTAATGAGATTCTTTGTACTTTAATTCAACTGTAAAAATAGAGAAGTTAAATGGAAAATATAAATGAAAAGGAGCTTCATCCAAGAATTTACTTTTATTTATATTTAAGGGAATCCTCTCAGAAGGTGTTACCAGAGGAATTATTGCTTTTTTCAGCTTGTATTCAGAAGCTTAGACAGTATTATCCTTCTCGGTGGTGATGAGGCTGCGTATTAGATGTCTGTTTGTACTTCTTTACAGTATATCGCCAAGATCGAGACCATTTTTGATGACAAACGAGGGAGGAAGAGAGTGAAGAACCAGGGACCTTTAGCACGAGGTAAGACACCAAAACACACACAAAATCAGATCATCAACAACTTTAAAAACAAGATTGTCGGTGGAAATAAAAACAGCTTTTGATAACACACTTAGTTAAGCACAGCTGTTAGAGGCTGCACCAATGATTATAAAAGAATGGTTTCCTGTCTACATGTGGTTATGGCTTCTCAAGGCTTTTTCCTCCCTCTACTGCTCACTAATGTCTCTTACTCACGGCAGACGAGACCAGTGGGACGGAGAGCGACCCTGAGGACAACACTGAAGGTATCCACTCAAAATGAACCTGCGGTTTGCTTTAATAACATTTATCCAAGGTAAAACATAAAGGTAATCGTCTAGAGGTCAAAACTTGTTACTGAAACCCAGAGTCTGCGTAGCATCAGGAATGTGAGCAGCTTCCTTCTTTAATGGAGTGCCCCTTTGTTGCAGATTAGCATTCTGGAACATTACCACACTATCCCCCCATGTGTTTGGCAGGTTCCAGAAGATCCGTTTACATCCAGTCCACGCTGAGACGGCGGCCGGGATACCGCACCCTGGAGAGAGACCTGATTCAGCTGCAGCAGCAGAAGCAGCAGCTTTTCCAAATCTTCGTGGTGGTGTCGCTCAGAAAAAGCTCCACAGGAAACACTTACTCCCCAGAAATTACTCAGCAGTTCCCAAAATTGGTTAGAATGAACCTTTAACAGTAACATTACTCAATGCTGCTCCTCTGTTAGCATGTTGTTAACATTTAAGGACATTTTGTTTTGTTGTCGATGAGGGAATTTCCCAGGTTGGCCTTATTATTTATTATTATTATTTATTTATTTTTTTAGTTACAGACTGGTCTTCTTTTTCAGTTCGAGAAGTCGTCCCGTCCGTCCAGAGAAGTTGAAGATCAGCTAAATGTGATTCCTAAATTCTGCTTCCCAGATCCACAGGACTGGAAGCCCTCCGCCCATACGCCAAGGTCAGCTTTTACACCGCAGTAACACTTAAAGAAATGAACTAAAAAAAACCCTGCAACAAAAACACAGAATGCTAATAAAACAGTTTAATGTCTTTTTCCTCATCTCCTGGTGTCTCATACACACCTTTAATGTGATTTAAGATACTCTCCATTATGTTTTTTTTCCAACATTAAGCTTATTACTCCATTCCCTCTTTTTCTTTTTATGTCCTCAGCTGTCAGACGTAATCCCTTAATGTTTCTGCAACCACTCAGATCACCCACAGGGATAATTAAAGGCTGTCTAATTAAATAGTGTAGAGTGTTGAGGGGCATTGGATGTTCTTTTTATTTTCCCAGGGTGTGATTTATCGTCCTGTTAAAAGTTCTGATCTCAACTTCTGATGATGTTTCTTGCTCCTTTTTAGCATAATATTTTTTCTTTTATTTCACTATAATACATTTATTACAGCTTGATTTAAAATAAATTCTTCCTAAAAGTGTCTTCCAATCTATCCCTGTTTCATTAACAGTGAGACCTTTTCCTTTGTGCTGACCGGAGAAGATGGGAGCCGCTGGTTTTGTTACTGCCGTAGGATCCTGGTGAGTACGGAAGTGTGCGGATGATGTTTCAGTGGAAGCTATTGCGTCCTGACCTCATGTGATTCTGCGTTTAATGCTGGCAGAACGCCGCGTGCTTACTCACCCTGTCTGAGAAATCTTACTGATTACCACTGAAGAAGTGACATAGAGTAAAAAGAATTTCATAGCTTCATCCTTCGTTCTGTGGTTTTATTTAGTGCTTTAACCCATCTGGTGTTCTTTACAGATTTAGATTTTCTAATGAATCTGTTCTATATTTAGTAACGGACGAGTCGAGAAACGCAGCTTCAGCTTTCTCCTTTTTAAAAGCCGTATGTTGATATATAAACTGTGCTATAAAAGAGAAGTAAAAAGGGTTGTAACATTGTGGTATTTTATTTTGCAAAACCTGCTGTCTGACTTGTGAAACTGTGTCTTCAAGCCGAGTGGAAAGGGGAAGAGGCTTCCTGAGGTGCATTGCATTGTCAGCAAGTTGGGCTGTTTCAACCTGTTTGCAAAGGTAAGGTAACTCAATCCAGAGCCTTCAAACAGTATTATTTCTCCTTTTTTTCTTTTTTCTTTGGCATCTTATTACAACACAACTGCATATTTAATGAAATTATCAGAGGAACAGTTTAAAATGACAAATGCAAGGATTTTAAATCTATGCAAAGCTGTGTTTGAAAAAGCTGATGATGCCTTAATTGGTATTAAAATGTCTTGAATCAGTGTTTTGTAGGTCTTAAAATTGTCACCAAGTCATAAATAGGATTTATTTTGGATTTAAATAATTCTCAATAAGTTTTTGACATTTACCGACGGCTTCGCTGGAACCATTATTAGTTCCATCCTGACAGCAGAACCAATAAAAACGATGTTGCAAATAGACCTTTGGGTGATGCGGCACTAACTTTTTATCTGGACAATGTGGGGAAGTGTAAATTTAATGCAAATCGGCTATCCAGCCAAGAGTTTTCTGCATAGCTAAAAACAGAACCAGGTAATGTATATGAGCAATGGCGTATTTTGAGCAAGAAGTCATTGAAGCTCGGCACAATGGGAATCAAAGCTGTGGAGTCAGACGTGAAGAGTGAAAAACAAAGCGCTAAAATCAAGTTACAGAGAAGCAGCAGCTGTTCCTCAGTTCTGTTCCAACCTTGTCTCTGCAAGGCCTCTACAGCATCTCCAACGTCAAATAAAGCACCAGTAGCAGCAAACCTCCGGATTTATCTATTATAGACTTTGAGTCGGGATCAAAACAAAGTTTAATTCCATTTATTAGTTGTTAAAATGTATCTGTTATAAGTGTGTTTTAAATTTGTCGCAGCCAGGTTTCTGTTTATTGTTCTGTTTTAAGTTTAATTTAAGGGACAAAAAAGTCTTAAAAAGTCTTGAATTTAACTTGCCTTATGTTGTAGGAACCCTGAAAAGTTAAATTCAATTCAGTTTATTTCTATAGCGCCAATTCACAACACAAGTCATCTCAAGGCACTTTACATTTCAACCAGATCATCCAGTAAAATTGATTCAAAGTTTTCTATCTAAGGAAAACCAGTTGATTGCATTGACTCAAAGGCAATCCCTCACACTAAGAATGCTTGTAGCGACAGTGGAGAGGAAAAACTCCCTTTTAACAGGAAGAAACCTCCAGCAGAACCAGACTCAGTGTGAGCGGCCATCTGACGAGGCTGACTGGGGTTCAAGGAGACAGAAGCAGAGATACAAAAGGCAGCTGTAAAAGGCGGCCCATCCAGGAAACACACAGCCAGGCAGGCAGATGAGCTCAGAGCCAGCTCCCATGTCAGAGGATGAAGAGAGCACATCCAGCCAGTCACGGTCAGAGAAACAGGACTACACTGAAAAACAGGCAGATCTCCTGCATCTATAAACAAGGGTGTTGATAGAAGCAGCACAGCTGATATTTCTATCCAGGATGGTGTCACAGCCAAACAGGAACAGACGAGGCAAAGCTACTCTGAGGAAAAAGCAGAGAGAGCAGAACGTTAGAGATTGAACTAACAGATTCTGCAGAATAGGAGAATAGAGGGAGAATGAAGCAGAATGATAATATGGGGGTCCCTATGTCCTCCAGAAGTCAAAACCTTTAGCAGCATAACTATAGAGATTGCTCAGGATCATTCATTTCAATGAACATGCACACCTGCACAATTATCTGATATAAAAACTTTTTAAATAATTAAGCCACTCTAACTATAAGCTTTATCAAAAAGGAAAGTTTTAAGCCTAGCCTTAAAAGTAGGCAGGTTGTCTGCCTCACGACTAAAACTTGTAGTTGGTTCCACAGGAGAGGAGCCTGATAACTAAAAGATCTGCCTCCCATTCTATTTTTAGAAATTCTAGGAACCACTAGTAAACCTGCAGATTGAGAGCGAAGTGCTCTGTTAGGAACATAAGGAACAATCAGATCTCTGATATCAGATGGAGCTGGGCCATTTAAGGCTTTATATGTGAGAAGAAGGACAGGAAGCCAATGAAGAGAAGCTAGTATAGGAGAGATATGATCTCTCTTTTTAATTTTCATCAGAACTCTGGTTGCAGCATTTTGGATCAGCTGAAGGCTTTTAACTACAGTTTGTGGACTTCCTGATAGTAAAGAATTACAATAGTCCAGCCTTGAAGTAACAAATGCATGGACTAGTTTCTCAGCATCACCCCTGGACAGGAGATTTCTAATTTTTGCAATATTCCGCAGATGAAAGAAGGAAATTCTAGAAACCTCTTAGATATGGGATTTAAATGACAGGTCCTGATCAAAGACTCTGGTCCAAAGACTATAACTTCTGTTTTGTCTGCATTCAGAAGGAGAAAGTTAAGAGTCATCCAGGTTTTTATGTCTTCAAGACATGCCTGTAATTTATGTAATAGGTTAGCTTCATCTGGATTTATAGACAGATATAGCTGGGTATCATCAGCATAACAGTGAAAATTAATCCCATGCTGTCTAATAATTTTACCGATTGGGAGCATGTATAAAGTAAAGAGAATTGATCCTAGCACTGATCCCTGTGGTACTCCACAGGTAACCTTTGAGTATGTGGAAGATTGGTCATTAAAATGAACAAACTGAATCGATCAGATAAGATTTAAACCAGTCTAGTGCTGTACCTTTAATTCCAACTAAATATTCAAGTCTTTCTAAAAGAATATTATGGTCAACTGTATCAAATGCAGCACTAAGATCCAACAGGACAAGCACAGATACAAGTCCATTATCTGAGGCCATGAGAATATCATAAGTTAGTTTAACAACAGCTGTTTCAGTGCTATGATGAGCTCTAAAGCCAGACTGAAACTCTTCAAAAAGTTCATTATGGTGTAAGTGATCTCGCACTTGTTTGGCAACTACTTTCTCAAGAATTTTAGATAAGAAAGGAAGATTGGATATAGGTCTATTTTGACCAGGTCATCTGGGTCAAGAGACGGTTTCTTAAGCATAGGTTTAACTACAGCAACTTTAAAAGCCTTAGGTACATATGCCTGTAACAGAGATAGATTAATCACATCTGAAATGGAGGAGATCAAAGGGAATACCTCCTTAAATAACCTGTTGATTCTACAAAGTATTTATGAAGTGTTGGATATAGAGCCTGCTATGGGGAAAAACTTTCCTTCTACTTCTCAGCTATGCACTGTGTTGTTGGTCTAAAACATGACATCCAGAGGAAAATCATGGTTGTTTGTAGCTTTGATGTCTCAAAATGTGTGAATTACTTTTGCCCTGCATCGTTCGTCTGCACACTTTTATAAATGTGAGCAGGAATAATTAAGTACTGAGACAGTAAAAGTTTGATCAAGCATATTCTTCCTGGGGTCACAGATCCTGGAGGAAGTAGAGCGGCGCAGAGAAATATCTTCAGCGCTGGTTCATCCTTTCATGCGGAGCGTGATGGAGGCCCCGTTTCCAGCCCCCGGACGCACCGTCACCATCAAGAGCTTCCTTCCCGGCTCTGGGAATGAGGTAATGCTGGCATCAGAAAAGGAAGTCTTGATTAGAGGCCATGTGTTTCGTAACCACTCCCTCCACAGATCCAGAATGACTCAGGCCACATGTGGAGGCAGTAAGGGTGACTTTTACAGCTTGGACTGGTCTGTGTTGGGAAAGCCATGTGTTAACATTTAACTGTAATCTACTTTGTCATTGCCAGTAACAGAATACATCAAGGAAGTTTAATATCTTTCAATAAAAATGCTAAAAAAGTATCAACTTCTGTCTAATGCAGAACTTCTGGTTTAGTTTTCCAATCAGTCCAAAGATCGTTAACTTTACAGCCAGGTTACAGTCAGTCTGCTGTTTGGTTGCAGGTCCTCACTTTGTGTCGGCCAGTGGACTCCAGGCTGGAGCATGTGGACTTTGACAGCCTGCTGCAGTGTCTCAGTGTCGGGAGGCTCCTGCAGGTGTTTGCTTCCCTTCTGCTGGAGAGGAGAGTCATCTTTGTTGCTGACAAACTCAGGTAACAATGTGGTCATCCTGAAACTAGCAGGTTAATGAGCAACACACAGAGCTGTGGAGAAAGATTTACTACCTTAAAGGGATCCACAGCTAGTTTTTTTTTATTTTCACATTTCCTTAACAGTGGCAGCTTATGTTAAATACAACTCATGATTGCTTCAAAAGCAACATTTCCAATTTTTAATTGGATCATTTTTTTCCAATATTTCAATTTTCAAATAAATATTTTTATATTTTTCATCCGTGAGGGGTCAGGATTTTAAAAAAATTCACTTTGCATGCTGGGATGATGACACATTAGGTCTCACATGCCGTTTCTCAATATGTGTACTTGTGCGTTCTCGTGTGCTCGTGAAACGTCATCAGCCTCAGCCCTAGTACTGTTCCAATTCACAAGAACACAAGACAGAGAACGGACAAAGTCCCTGGATGTTCTCGCCCCTCCTTCTTTACCCAGCATGCATCAGAGCAGACTTGTGCGTTCTCGAGATTGACAGCGTTCCCAGCATGCACCGCTGCTGTAGCAGCTTCCAGTGGAGTAGTGGAGTATTAAGTTAAATCTTCTCTTTCTGTTGTTATTGTTCTACAAAAGTAAGTTTTAAATCATTTGAGGTGAAAACATTACACTTTTAAGCATCAATACGTAGCCCATTCACTGATTTAGTGCATAATAATAATTAAAAAAAAATTCAGATGTTAAGAGGTCCGTGGCAACTAGCAGACATCCGAGGCTAGCCACAACCAAAGGCTAATGTTAGCCCGTCTGCGAAATACCGCTGTTCTGATGACGATTTTATTGTTTCATTTGGAAAATTGTTCATTTGATTTGTGTTTATCTGACTGTGCTCATTACTATTCCCCGACTTAATTAAGAAAGTAAGAGTATATCATTATCTAGAGCAGCGGTCACCAACCTTTTTACAGTTGAGGGCTAATTCAGGGGCACTGAGTCACAGGAAGGGCTACCAATACTGACCTATGAATTGCAAGGGTCAATGTTAACCTAAACTTCATACATTATAAACATATCTTTATCGTTTCTTTAAATTTCTAATTTTCTTTTAGACATTTTCTTTTTGAAATCTCTATAAATGCTTAAATGCCATATATGATTAAATGATGAAATGTTCTATAACTGATTAAAAAAAGAAGAGCCACAGAATACAATGAAATTTCAAACATAGCTCACTGTTGAGTTGTTCTATTTTCAGAAGACTCTAAGGGCACCCCTTGTGGTCCTTGAGGGCCCCTTGGTGCCCGCGGGCACCATGTTGGTGACCCCTGATCTAGAGACTATTTATAAAAGTACGTGAAATGCAGCTTCTGACTAGCTTTGAATGTGGTGATGTCACAGTTCAGTTTGTGGCTCTTCAGGAACTGGAGCTTCTACCTGTAAAAATTAAATAGAAACATTTAAACAGTTTTTTGCTCTTCTATGATTTATGACATTTAGAAGCACAAAGAGAGATGAGCCAGACATTTTTCTGACTCATTTTTGATGATGACGTTTGATTTACTGCTGTCCTTGTTGCACTGCAGCATCGCCTCCCTTCTAAGACTCCCCACTGCGCTTCTCTATGAGCTCTACATATAAGATTTAAATTTTCTAGGAAATCTTGTACATATTTTTATTCTTAACATCATTCTTTAGGCTGTAAGTTCAACCTTTAACAGTAAATTCAAAATAAACCTCTGCAGCAGGTTTGTTAAACTAATGGGAAGTTTTTCTCATAGTTTCTCCTGATCAAAATAAGTCCATCATTCTTATCCAGTGAGTCAAACCCGATGTGTCTCACATGAAACGTTTTAGAAATTAGCTGTTTTTTTGTTTTTGATCTCTCTGTTTCCGCAGTGTGTTATCCAGATGTGGCCACGCTGCGCTAGCCCTGCTCTACCCATTCACTTGGCAGCACACATTCGTCCCTGTGTTACCATCGAGCATGCTGGACATCAGCTGCTCTCCGACCCCGTTCCTCATCGGCGTGCTGGCACCGTGTCTGCCAGAACTGCGGGAGCTGCCTATTGAGGAGGTACATCTGTCTGAAGTCTGGGGGAAAAGAAGCTGAGGTGGCTTTCATTTTTTATATAAAAACAGTCCAGTTTTTATATAAAAAAAAAACATGGATGTCTATTAATATCATATAGAGAAAAACATTAAGCTTTTTTAAGCATTATTTTTGTTCCATATTGCCCAGCCCTACTTCATCTGTCAGTCACTGCTACTCTGACTCACCTCAGCTTTTATTACTGCACCTTGTTTTATACAGTAGCTCGTTATGAAACTGTCGGTAAATGCCGTTCCTCTTTTCTGTTCTCTTCCCAGGTGCTTATCGTGGATCTGTGTGCGGATAAATTTGTCATACAGGTGTGTACACTCTGGTATAATAGGAAAGGAAGGTGCGGTTCCTCTGGGAGAGATGGCTTTGCCTACACTTGTCGCCTGATGGGTGGAGCACCTTTGGGTGACAAAGGATACTGTGCTGCGAACACAGAGACAGCGTAGTAAGAAAACTATACAGGATATAAGCCCAAACAAACATGTTTGAAATAGATCCATAGGATCCTAACTCTACATAAAGTCCTGACTTTAGTCTGTATAGAGAAACATGTTCTCAAGTATCAGTGTTGCTTTTATTGCTAAACGCATTTTTAAACCAAATCATAATGTGTTCATTCATCCAGAGCTTCATACATGATTAAAGTATCCAAATGTCAGCTGTGTGAGACGGATTTGACATTTTTCTGCCTATTTCTGTATTTCCGTTAGCTTGGTGATGAAGATTGCATCCTGCCCAGTAAACTACAGGCAGCTCTGCAGCAGATCCTGGAGGACAGAGAGGATATTCTGAGACAAAGCAATGGAGACACATGTGGAGGTTAGTCAGACTGAAACTGTTCTTCATTAGAGCCTGTTAAAACAGCAGGCTTCAGGGTAAATTTCTACTTTGATTTAAAACAGAGTTGGTGTTTTTGCAAAGCGCAGTAATAAAAAAGATAAAACGTTATCTTTATCTGAAGTGTTTCTGTCTTAATGTCTCTTTTAGACCAGCAGGCCGACCTGAGCTCGCTGGTGTCTGAGGGTTTTGTTCGGTTTTTCGTGGAGCTGGTCGGCCACTATCCTCTCCATCTGGTGGAGGCCCCCAGCGGAAACAAGGAACTTCAGCGAGAGAGCTTTCGCAAATCTCACCCCTCACGCGGCGTGCGGCAGTTTCTGCAGCTCTTCATGGACACGCAGATGTTTGCCGGCTTCATTCAGGACAAAGAGCTGCGCAAGGGAGGAGGAAAAGGTAAAAGATCGTAACCATCTACTTTATATTTCTCTTTGGCCGGTAAACTTATTTCCCAGGGTGCAGTTTTTTTATCTAAACATGGGTTCATCCAAAAATGGAAGGAGTGCTTTCAAACTGCACACCTATCAGGACAGGACATTAATCAGAGGCCCAGCTCAGAGGTCCGTCGTCACACTGGAGGATCTGCAAGGATCAACACCTCATCTGTGGACAGGAAAAACATTTATGTTGTCCAGCAGATGAAACCATTGGTTTATTTATGTCAGTCGACAGCAGCATCATGAAGCGCCTCTTTGAGCATTATTTACTTTAAGAGGAAAGGCAAGGCCTCACCATGAGTGGAAGCGAGCGGTCAGCAGAAAACAGCTCTCAGCACGGCCGTCTTAAAGGTACACTATGCAACCGGTGTTGATTTTCCAGCGAGGCTCCCCCCAGAGGGCGAAAGTAAAAGTGCACTGTCGTAAATATGCACAGCTGTTCTCCTGGTTTCTCCGTCAAGCCAGGCGCGGTTGTTTTGAGCTTAGCAGACAGGCGAACGCAACGAATGACTAATGCTGCGTTCACACCGCAGCTGGCGCGACAGAAGCAGCGAGTTTACATGCAAAGTCAATCTTTGACGCGCGTCAAGGCGCAGTAAAAGGTCCCGTGGCGCGTTTTGAGCAGCTGAAGCAGCGCGTCAGGAGCGTTTAATCAGCTGACGCAGGGAGAGAGACACAGCGCTGATGATCAGAGGCTATGATCACTCCTCTTAAACAGTTTATTGACGCCTAATTTAACTTAAAATGCAGAAATCTGCCGGCAGAATATGCAGTTTGGATTATTTAGATGAAAAACACCTACCAGCTGCCGCGATGAACCGCGAGGAGGTGACCCGGCCAGAGGCTGCTGATGAAGGGTTTCCTACTGTCGGCGCACCGCTGGTATGTGGGGGTCTGAGCGGCTCCGACAGAAAAAATATTGAAGGCAGGATAATAATCTGAATGAACTGACGGCACTGTTTTCAGGTGTATTTTCTCACTTAAACACATATTAAAACTACTTTATTCCCACTGATCACAGCAAATATAGCTGCAAGGCAGAGAAAGGATAGAGTAGCTCCGCCCAACGCGCGTCAGACACACTTTTGCACCGCGCAGCCAGAGCAGCAAAGCTGCTTAAGCCGCACGTCAGAACTAACTGGTACAAGCAGCAAAAAGGAAGCAGCAGACGCGATTTTGCTGCTTTTGCTGCGTGAACGTAGCATAACTGCACAAAGATCGCCACTGTGCTAGCAACGAGCATGCTTTTAACTGGGGGCGTGTAGCAGTTCTCGCCGTAAAGCAAGACCGACTCTTGCGAGACTTCTGAGCCTGTGGGTGCGGGTCGGTGCTCCTGCAATTGCAATTGCGGTATTTCCCCCACAGACCACCAGGGCGGCCGAGAATACCTTTATTCAACCTGAAATGACTCATTTAATCATCCAAAACGATATGGAACACATTAATTAACTGAAAAATGTTGCATAGAGTGCCTTTAAAGCTCAGTGTCTTATTTTAGCCATTAGCAGAGTTAGCATTGCTGTAAAAGTTTCTTTGTAGGGTTTTATTTCGGCATAATTGAGGTTTACAGCAGACTTTTGCCATTTTTCAATCCCAGCGTGCTCCAGAAGAGAGTATAACTAATTAAATGATAAATACAGCAACTTTGTTGTCATATATTCAGCTTCTTGTTTGCTACTGAAGTCTAACTGCCTGAAGGAACAGCAGGAACGTAGAAAACAAAGTTTTAGTTTAAACTATGATTTCAAAGTTTTAGCCTGACTAGTTGTTTCTTTTCAGTAAAGTATGGATGGTAACTTGCCCAGTACCAATTTCCACACTGAAGAGTGTTGTTTGCATTAGCAATTAGCCATTGGCACCAACCGGTTTCTCTGTCAGTAGGGATGATATTCATTCAATAGCTGTTCAAAGGTTTCTGAAACAGGCTTTCTGTGAAATAGCAGTTTTAAAAAGGGTAGAGAGCGACTCTGGATGTGGCTCTGTCCTCCCTGCTGTGATTTCTACCTTCCAGAAATAGCAGGAAACACAATGGCTGCATAAAGAGAATTGATCATTAAAGAAACATAGTTTAAAGGAATCATGTCCAATTCATTTCCTGAAAATGCTAGTTTTGCCATAGACCATCAACTGCTGATTTGAACCTTAGATCCCCAAAATCCTGCTCAAATCTACTTTATGTTGTTAGTTTTAAGGTTAAAATGATTGCCAGAAAAGACCATGGCTGTATCATTAACAGTTTTTATGGTTCTGGGTCATTTCCATTTGCTATAGTTGCTTTCAAGCTGAAGTGACACCTGGGGAGCTTCATTATACTCCACTGTCTGGAATATCAGGAAGTGACCCTCTTTAACCCACTGACAAACTAACATGCTTGCTTTTTAAAAATGAAATTATTATTATTTATCTTGATTAGTTCACATTAATTTCTTCAGTCCCCCAAATTAGATTGGATGATAAAATAGTGGGAAACGGTTCCCTTCAGAGCTGTCCGGTGCTGAAGATTTTTTACTTCCTACATTACAATAGAATCGAATAGAATAGAAAATCCCTTTATTGTCCCACAATGAGGAAATTCTGGAGTTTACAGCAGCAACAATTATTATAGAAAAGAAAAAAATGGTTACACAAATATGGACCTTAGAAAAGTGTATAAGAATAACGTAATAGTGAAGAGTTAAAAGATAAAAAATAAAATGTTCTGTAAAGTGTTTTAAATAATATATTTAAAAGAAATATATCTACTTTCTCAAAACTGGGTCGCTCCTTCTATAGATATTGATAATCTAGAGTCTGTCCAGTTGGAGCTCAGTTTGCTTTTAGAAAAAACTCTGATAGAGACATAAATAAAGACAAGAGAGGAAAACAGCAGATGGTGGTTCTGATTCTGAGATGCAAGTAATTCCTCATCCTTTCTTTCTTTATTAGATTTTATATTTACATTTTCATCATGTTTCAAGTCCTTTACACATTTAAATGCTGTTTGCAGCTTTAATACTGGAGCTCTAAAAGTACCGAGCTGCTTTTGCAGAACATCTGTTTAGTTTATCTACATTATCCTCTTTGATGTTTTAATTTAGAACAAAATTAGACCTAGTCAGTATTTATAATGTTTTCTTTACCAACAAAGTGAACAAAAGAGGAAAATTGAGCTATTTTCTGGGCATAGAAACAGATTTTTAAGATTAATTTCTAAAATTTATCTTGAATCATTTGATGCAAAAACTTAATTTTTATTAATTATAAAATAGAAGCTGTACTTTTTCACTGTAACATAAGTAAATTCTTTATTCTAAACTTCAATTGAAATATTTCTAACATTATTTTATGTGACTGATCAAAGTAGTCTGAGCTGGTTGAAATGAAGTGGGAAAATGATCACAGAAAATTGTCATGTGCATATATGGATCAACCCTCCATGCTGTAACGCCCATGTAAAGTCCTGGTGAAACCAATAATCTGAAAACCCCCCACATCCTGAAATAAAATCTACATGTGAGCATCGGTCTGAAAGTAGAAAGGCATTTTTTCTGAAAGGCCCCTGAAGCTGTAGAACCACTTAGATAGATGCAGAGAAATATAGACCCATCAAGACCAAGGAGCTCCCCAAGTAAATCAGGGACGTAGAGAAGTACAAGGGAGGGGTTATTAAAAAAACAAAATCTCTAAAGTTCCCCCAGAGCAGAGACAAATTCATCACCTTCAAATTGAAAGCACATGGTAGCACAACAAGCCTGCCCAGAGAGAGCTGCCTGCCAGAACTCACAGGCATCAATCAGAGAGGGAGCAGAGACCCAGGGTGACCCTGAAGGAGCTCCACAGTGCAGCAAACCTGCTCTGCACTGCTTAGAGTGGGACTTTATGGAAAGGTGGCTGGAAGGAGGCCATTAATAACTGTAGAAAATAAAACAGGCTCTTGGGTTTGCCAAAAGGCTGCTGGGTGATTTCCTAAATGTATAAAGGAAGCTGCTCTAATCAGAAGAAGCCAAAATGAAAATGACCCAAAGCCACTTGCAGCTGCCTCAAAGGTTGCTCTACAACAAGGGTGTAACTTTGTGATGAAAGTTGGTGGGGGCGCTCTAAGGGTGGAGGCTGATTGACCTACAGTTACTCCACCCCAACGCTTTCATTAGGTTTTTGTATTTTCCAAAAATGAGCTCAAACATATATTTATTGAATGCTTTCCTATTGTTAAGAACACAAGGGAACTAGATATACACTAATATTTATATTTATAGATAGAGAGATGCCTTTAAGTGTATTACAGATATAGGGCCCAAAAACATTAATGTATAAAAAAATGATTAACAGCCGATTCCGATAAAGTATTGATATATCATGCATCCCTAGAAGTACAATTTCAATTCAATCCATCCAGAAAAATATGGATATGGTGCATTTTAAATATAGAATAGCATATTTTTTCTTGTAAACTTTCTGGTAAACTTGGAGATCTATTTTATTGCGTGTTGCATATCCCAGTAAATCTGTTTCACCTTTAAATCTGCAGCTCTCCCTTCTTCTCTCTGCTCTGTTTAAAAAGATTTATGTACTTATTCACTAATATAATGATGCCAGAAACAAAATTTGAAGATATGCAAAAGCTCTGCTTCTATCTGCACAATAAGGAAACATGTTAATTTTAGCCTGTAACTATGAGTCATGGTCCTCTGAGAAGCCCAGCTTTTTTCACTAGTAAAGAAGAACAATCTGTTTTCTCAAGCTTCCTGCATTATAATACTAACTTGTATAAACTTTCAATTTGTTGCCATTTTTAGCTGAAAAGGCTCCGTATGTCTAAGAAACTGATTTTTAAGTGGTATGATCTCTAATTTTTTTTAACCAACCCGTCTCCTAACTTTTACTTAAACATCAAAGTAGCTGCTGGTTAATATTCACTGAGTGCTGCTGTGTCTCTCCTCTAGAGTTGTCACTATACTAAACTTTTCAACTCCAATAATAAACACTCCAACAGAAATATTTTGAATAATAATTAAAATACAAAAAATAAATAAATACAATAAACAAAAAGAACAACATTTTGAGGTTGTTTGCTGTGCACAGTATTATGCAAGCTTGATAAAAAACTTACAAAATTAAAACTAAGTTTTCCTTACTTGGCTATGCTTTGCACACATAACAATTACGCTAGCCAAACTGGTTAAGAAACAAAAATCATTGTCAGCAGCTGCACCTCTTACAAAAAAAGTCTGAAACTGAAAAGTGCACAGAATTATTCAATCACACAGTGTTCTGAAAGTGCATTGTCCTCTATTCTGCACTTTAGATGAATGACTGTTTAGGTGCCACCAGTGGTGGCACTGTAGCGATACTTTTGAAAATGAGTATTGTATCCGGATACAACGTTTCAGTATCAAGACTTTTTTGAGTATCGATACTTTTGACAACCCTACTCTCCTCCTCCACGTAGTTGTATGCATTGAAATGCGACTGCAAATCCGATGTCTGAAAGCAACAGATCCGATGATGTCACACAGGAGGCGGGACACGGGAGCAGCGGGAGAGAGGAAAAAAAAAAACACGGACTGAAAACGCTCTGAATACGGATAGCTGCACTCAACCTCTGTTACCTTTGGCTAAATTAAATGAGTGGAAAGGGGGGAAAAAAGCGGATATTATTGGTGGGGACATGTCCACACCGGTCCTTCAGAAAGTTACGCCTTTGCTCTACAAAGTGCTATCTAGAAAGAGTTGTTCTATGTGCTTTAGTTTGCTGTTATTTGAAGGGGAACTACTAGCTGAAGTAATTACAACCTTTACATGCAGTCCACTGGGATTTTACTAGATGGATCCTGACAAAGTGGAGATAAATGCGTAAGAATTTGTGACATTTTTCCCCTCTAAATCGCTCTTTTATCTTAACGTGTGTCTCTCCGTCACAGAAAGTTTTATATAAGTAACCAAAGTTTGTGGTTTTTACTGTAAAGCAATTTAAAGGGAATCAGCAAAACGGCTGAAAATGTCTTTAAGTTCATCTCTACTTGCTGCAGATCTGCTTATATTTCCCCCCTCCTCTTCCTCCTCCCAGGACTGTTTGAATCCAGAGTGGCTCAGTATCTGGATTCCTCCTCGGAGCCTGAACCCAGCGGTGTGAACAAATTTCTCAAAGGACTGGGTTGGTGTCGCTCTTTCAAACCTTCACTTTCCTCTGTCGCTTTACAGAAGCTAAAACTACTTTTTTTTTCTTTTTTTCAGGAAACAAGATGAAGCTCCTTCAGATTAAATAAATAAAGCTCAGTTCCTTCACTCATAAAGGAGAGAAAACATATTTTAAAAACAGAACAGACTGGAGCGGTTTAGGGAAACGTGGTAAAATGTCGGTGTTTGGATGGAACGACTGATGTCAAGTTTCAGCTCCGCTTGTGTGTCAGTCCTGCACTTCGCTTCGGATAACAACTGGAAACACCTTAACTGTTTTGATTATTTTTAACTAAATCAGGTTTTGTTTCTTTATTAATGTCCAACAACATTCCAGCTGTTGAGTCTCAACTTTAACCTGTGGTTGAAATTATGATCTCCATTTAAATGGAAGCTGTTTACTCTCTTTTACCTTCTGTTCGGTCAGGTAACTTATCTTTTTTATACTTTCAAATTGTGAATATTATTCCTGTGGTTCCAACCTGGAGGATTTTATACTCTCTTGTAAATGTCATTGTTTCCTTTTTTTTCTACTAAGACATTCATCTCTGGTTCAGTCCATGTATTAACTCTCAGCAGAACATTTTCTATGAATTTTTGTACCTGCTGTCCTTGAATTTCTACAGAATGACTGGACTTTTTTCTTTTTTTTTACGTTTTGCACATTCTTAAAACTGTACAGTGTTTGTAAAAAAAAAAGTGTTTTTATTAAAGTTGGATATAGTTCTTTTATGAGTCTCCAGATTATTTAATTTTAGTAACTGATGATGACATATTAAATGCTATAATGTTTGAATAAAAGCAGATTATTGAATAGTTATGCTAGTTTTTACACTAACAAAGGAAATGCAAGAAATTTAAAAACTGTATATTTATTTAGCTTAGGGTTTTCATTAGTGATTTCAAAGGCTGTAAAGTAAACATGTTTTTCTTAAAAATCTAAATTTAAGCAAGATTGAATTATTTCTTGTCCATCCTGTTTCATAAAGGGAAGCCTCTATAGATCTATCACCACAAAGTGAAACATATCTAATCTTTATCTCCTGTAGTTTGATGATTTCTGGTCACAGATAATGAAAGATGATAAAATCTAAAAATGATCTGAAATGTATGAAATCTGAAGTGATCAGATCTGTAATGTATCCTAATTTTTTGCCTGAATTTCTGCGTCAGTGAAGAGCGGCATGAAGGACATTGGCCTAACATTCTGCTCACTCTGCTTTTTCTCATAGTAGCTTCACCTCATCTGTTCCTGTTTGGCTGTGACTCCATCCTGGATAGAAATATCAGCTGTGCTGCTTCCATCAACACCTTTGTTTATAGATGCTGGAGATCGGCCTGTTTTCCAGTGTAGTCCTGTTTCTCTGACCGTGACTGGCTGGATGTGCTCTCTTCATCCTCTGACATGGGAGCTGTGTGTTTCCTGGACAGGGCCGCCTTTTACAGCTGCTTTTTGTATCTCTGCTTCTGTCTCCTTGAACCCCAGTCGGCCTCAGCAGATGGCCGCTCACACTGAGCCTGGTTCTGCTGGAGGTTTCTTCCTGTTAAAAGGGAGTTTTTCCTCTCCACTGTCGCTACAAGCATGCTCAGTGTGAGTGATTGTATTTGAGTCAATGAGTCGATGCAATCAGCTGGTTTTCCTTAGATAGAAAACTTTGAATCAATTTGACTGTATGATCTGGTTGAACTGTAAAGTGCCTTGAGATGACATGTGTTGTGAATTGGCACTTTATAGATAAACTGAATTGAAATCTGCTGATGCTTTAATGGCGTTGTCTCATGTGGACAATGCTCCATATATATTCTGTTTGTGGTTCAGGTCTCAGCAGTTTGCTTGCCACTCACTGCAAAAAATCTGAATCTAAGTCATTTTTTCTTAAAATAATTGCTTTTGTTCTTGAATTGAGGAGGTAAAAGACATTTTGCCAATGGAACAAGACAATTTACACTTAAAATAAGAAAACACTTGCATTGTCTTATTTCAAGTGCATATTAGCTAATTATCTTATTTTAAGAGTAAAATTACTCATTCCATTGGCAAACTATCTCATTTACCTACTCAAATTAAGGGTGAAAACACTTAATTTAAGACATGTTTACTTATTTCTTGATCGTTTTTGCAGTGCTTGAGGACAGTAACACAATGGTCATTGAACTAGCTTTTGGTACCTTTGACAGGGAGAACAGGTGCAGTGACCTGTTTTAAATAAAATCAGCAACTCTGTTTACATTATGAAGATTTAATTGTAGACTTTAGAAATCCTAGTGAACCAGAGCCAGCAGATGACACGGCAGCACAAATCCTCTCTAGCTGTGCATTATGTCCAGTAAAGAAGATTCTGTGTCTCCGGTGTTTCTCCAGACTCTGTGACCTTGATTTCTCCTTAGCTCAGGTAGGATAACTGATTCAGGATGAAACAGAATAAATCTAGCCCCCCTTAGCTGACTGGAAACCTTGATTTGTCTTGATAAACCTCTCAGAGCTTTGTTTATCCCTGTTGTTTTCCTTTGTCTGTTACAAATTTAGGCTAAAACAACCTTTGCAGATGTTTTGAGCTGATAACGTTATTGGAGCATGAGATAGATTTGCAGGATTCAATTTTTCTGAGACACAGAATTTAGAGTCCTTTTAAATTCAAACCGTAATCATCAAATTACAAATTAAAACAGGATTGACATATTTATTTACCATGTAATAAAATAAATCCATATATTTCATAACCATTCCAACTATTTAAGTTCTACCCAGGCACTTTTAAAAGATGTGTTTAAAGATTGAAATTGGTGGATGTTCTTAGATTGGATGGTTAGACTGAATAGGGAGGGAAGCAATAATGTTATTGATCAGACTTGCAAAGAAAAACAGATTCTGCTTTCTGGCTGTTTGGTTGATGCATCTCTAACTTCTAACCTGCTATGACATGGAAGGTATGACTTTTTTTAAAGGAGTCTACTTTAAATATGACAACTTTTTTTGGTCATTTTTAAAAGAAAATTATTCCTCCTCCAAAGATGATAAAAGTTCTCAGCAAAAATTACAACAGTTAAATGAAGACTTTCTATTTATTTATTTGTTTTTGACATTTGCAATCTATCCAGCCACACAAGCCAGAAACAGTTGCAGAGAAATCCTTATCTGAACAAATTGAGAAAATACATCTTCTGCTTGTTTCTTAAACGATTTGCTCTCTGAATTTACCTTTCAGGCATTTTGTTTTTTGTTACAGTGAGAATGAGAAACAGCCTTTCTTTATTGTAGTCTTTTATTCCAAACCTAACTAACTCGTTTGGCTGAACAGATTATAGTTAAATTTCAGAGTTTTTTTATGTTGTTTTCAAAAGGTGATTTTAATGCCACACTGGAAAAAAAAAATCAAAATCTAAATAAGTCATTTTTTCGTAAAATAAGTGCATCTGTTCTTGAAACGAGGAGGTAAGCGAGACACTTAAAATGTTCATTTAAAATAAGAAAAAACAATTGCATGGTCTTATTTCAGATGCATGTTATTTTAAGAGTAAATATAATCATTCCATTAGACAATCATCTTATTTACCTACTCAAATTAAGGGTAAATACACTTAATTTAGGAAATGTTTAATTATTTCTAGAGATTTTTGAAGTGCATGCACTTCAACAATATCTTAGCAATGCAATAAACAACCATGGCCACAAGGGGGCGCTGGCTCTGTATCTCTCACTGCACAAACGTTCTGAAAATAATTAAATATTTAAAATAAGTGTATTTACCCTTAATTTGAGCAGGAAAATAAGATGATCTGCCCTGTATGTTTACCCTTAAAATAGGATAATTAGATATTATGCACTTGAAATAAGAGACTGCAGTTGTTCCTTATTTTATTTTAAATGTAAATTGTCTCATTCCTTTGGCAAAGTGCCTCACTAACCTGCTTAAATTAATAAAACATGCACTTATTTAAAGAAAAAATGACTTACTTAGATTGACATTTTCTGTACAGAAAATAAATGACATCACAGGAATAAAATATAACAGAGAAATTAATCTTTTTGTGCTTCTTAATCTGTATGATTGCAGTTGATAAATGTTTTAGGGATGAAACTAAACAGCTCTTCATGTTTTCTTCTACTTTCTTTACAAATTACATGTTAATCTAAATCAGGTTTGTTTAAAAAAATAAAAGGTCAATTGGTGATTAAATGAAGCTGCTGGACCAAATAGTTCATGTTTAGTTGTGGCATTTAAATCTGATTTCATTGTATGATTCACTATCTTGTCTCACACTGTTGGTGTTTTTTAAATCACTGTAGGAAAAGTTTTTATATCTGTTGAAGCAATAGACATTAGCAATAGCTTCAGTGAAAGCTGGGACTGATAAAAACTCAATAAGAAATGATCTTAGAAAAATAGAAAGGCTGCAACCTGGGAGATACTAACAGCAATCTAAACCCAAATTATCCATTTTTACTATTATAATATAATGAAACAAACTAATCAACCAACTTTAGTTCAGTATAGTTATAATGCCTGGAGGAGATATTTCCTTCTGAGGTTAGTAATGATTACCTTCAGAGGAAATTATGCAGCCCTTTGCATCAAAATAAATTCCTAATAATATATAGTAATGCCTCCAGGTCAGAGGCAAAGATCCCGGAGATCCAGCCAGTGCCAAACATTTTCACCTTAAAAAGGGCCTTAGCAAATTGTTGCCACCGGTGCAGAGCTTGCTCAACACTGAACTTCAAATGGCCCCGTAGAAAACCACCTCTGGTCCAGAAAATCCCACAGAAATTGAAACTCTGGATAGAATTTCAGCTTCTTTGGGATTTTGCTGTACATGACTAGAGCTCCTTTCTAGCAGTTTGTAGAACCGGGAGAATTGGTTGACGTCTGCTTTTAAGTTTCTTAATTACTTGTAGCAGTTTGATTCCCACTGAATGTGACCTGTTTTTAGCTTCTTCTTTGACTCCAATATGATTACTTATTTGAGCTTGGCTTCTCCACCTGCTATGTTTTTTTTATCCCTCCTGGCCTAAAGATCCAAAACTGCTATGTTTAATATTTTATCCTGTTCATTGTGATATAATCTACCATCAGGCTAAAGAATTAACAGAACAAAGCATCGCCAATCTGGGTGTATTATATTATATGTACAATATTTTAGTGTAAGGTTTGGATTTTAGTGTAATGAGTG